ATGAACTAGGTAATATAAAAATATTGTTTCTGTTTTGCAGAGGAAGAAACTAAGTTAGAAAGGTTAATTAATTTGCCCAAGGCCATAGAGTTTGTGATGGTGCCACAAAAAAAAATGGTGGTTGTTTATTCAGTCATTCTTCTGTCATGCCCATCTCTTTTTGACCCCATTTGGGGTTTTCTTGGCAAAGGTATTGGAATAGTTTACCATTTTCTTCTCCAGCTCTTTTTACAGATGAGGAAGCTGAGGCAAACAAGGTTAAGTGACTTGCCAGGGGTCACATGGCTAGTAAGTGTCTGAGGCCAGATTTGAACTCAGAAAGATGAGTCTTCTGTCTCCAGGCTCACCACTCTCTCAGCTGCACCACCTAGCTGCCAAAGTCTTTAGACTCCAGTTCCAATTCTTTTTACTCTGTAATATGCCACTTATTTGCAAGGCCAAATGAGATGAGATTTGTAAAACACCTTGCAAAACCTTACAAAGCACTATATAAATTGTTGTTGTAGGAATTTTAAGATTAAGAACCTTTGGTGATAAATGTTTTGTTGACTGTAACATTCTAGTACTTGACTGTTGATAGGATAATATAATTTAAAGAAGGAAGGGTCATTAGTGATCATCTAATCCAACCCCTGCATTTCATATATGTGGGGGAGAAAACTAGGCTCAGACAACTCAGGTGATTTGCCCAATGTTATACAAATAGTGTGAGGGCTATAGGAAGGTAGCAGAGATTTGATCTGTGATTTCATTGACATAGGGAAGTCCCAGGTAAGGAAATTCTCTCTAGCAATGCAGATTGACATCCTATCTGTCATTGAACAATGCAACGTTAAGTGAATTACCCAGGGTTACACAGTCAGTAGGTGTAAAAGGTGAGACTTAAACCTAGTTCTATCCTAACTCTGAGGCTGACTCTCTATCCAGTATCCACAAGGGCCAGGGCAAAAACCCTGCTTAATAGAACCAGCACATTGCCTGAAAATACCAAGCACCTAATAAATGCTTATTGATTGATACTGAGTAATAATCGATGAACTTTACAAATATCATCTCATTTGATCCTCACAACAACTCTGTTAAGTAAAGATTGCAAGCCTTTATTATACCCATTTTACAGATAAGAAATCTGAGATTGGGTGAACTGAGGCAAAGAAAGGTTAAGTGACTTGACATTAGTCACAGACCAATTTCAGAGGCGTCTGTAATTCAAAGGCAGGCCTTTCTTGGTCTCCAAGGCCACATCGAACTGTCTCTCAGAATTAGCTTCAGTTATATTGGGAAACAGCCCAAGCGTCTTACATTACAAATGAAACAATATTCCTATTCTTCCTATGGCCTAGCTCACCTGGTGCACAGGAAACGCCTAAATAAATACCCTTCAAAGTGGTTAGACTACAAACATTTAGAGGACAATTATGCTGACTCAACATGTACAGTCAATAAATGCTTTTGAGAAAGATAGTGTCTGGTCCTCACTGGAATTTTAGGATGGCCCATATAATCTTTACTGATCTGAAATGGAAAAACGAGGTGTGATAATGAAAAGATGAGGCATTCTCCCTCAAAAGGAGATAGAAATTCTGAACAATTCTTAGATTTCCCCTCTTCCCTTCTAATAGCTTCCGAAACCCCGAGGACATCACTGTCAACGTCAGTATTCCTCCATCTCCAAGTACGAGGCTGGGGCGGGGGGATGAGGGGAGGGGAATTAAGGGGAACTGAACCAGGGGTTCTTGAACCCCTGGAGGCAACAGCTGGATTAGCGAAACTCCAGAGGTTCCAGATTTTTCTTAAGAAATCCCACCCTCCCCTCCCAACCCCCACCCCACAACTCCAAGGGAAATTGTTCTGCTCTTCTCAGTTTAAGAACCGTATTACCCAGCACTCTTTCCTACTCCTCCTAAGCTCCTCTCAGTCCAAGCCACACACACTAAAGAAACTGGAGATGTCCAGGGAAAGCAGGCTGGTCTCTCTATGAGCGCCTAAATGGAACCTCCCCTTCCTCCGCCCATGCTCTGAAATTATGTGGATGGAGTCTTGCTCAAAAGTCCCTTGAATATCAGAATGGAAAAGTGCAAAAAATTTCCCTACGGGGTGTGCGCGCGCTCTCGTGCGAGCGTGTGTGCATTTGTCCACGCTTGTGCGAAATACCCCAACGTCTCGTCCTGCAACCAGGACAAGCATGTTGAGAATTTGGGGACCGTGCAAAACCTTGCTCCCACCCCACCCCTTTCCCCTTCATTACCCCTCCCCCAAAGGAAGTAGGTCTCGGGCTCTGTCACGGCGCTACCACGGTCACAACGGCAGCTGCAGCCACAGAGCTATCTGCAGGGATCCTCGACTAGGATTTTTCACTCCCCACCTTCCTACTATTTAAGCCTGCTCGCCCTACACCCCCAACCCCATCATTTTTTTCTACACTGCCCCCCAAACCCCCATTCAAACTGTTCCGACTGCGGGGATTCCTTCCAAGTGTTTTCCGGGCCAAGTTGCTGACCTACGGCGAATCACCCTCCTGCTTCCCTATTCCCAGACACATACATTCTCTCCTCTCTCTCATTCTCATTCTCTCTCTCTCTCTCTCTCTCTCTCTCTCTCTCTCTCTCTCACACACACACACACACACACACACACACACACACACACACACACACTCACAGAGTGCCCCTTGCAGTGATGAAACGCTCCTTGGCACCTCTTTCCTTCCCTTGGTGCACGCGCCCGCCTCCACCTTCCCCAGGGGGCCCGGGAGAACCGCTTTTTCTGGCTGTGTGTGTGCGTGTGTGTATGTGTGTGTGCGCGCGCGCGGCGTGCGCGCGCGCATTTGGTGTGGAAATCTTAGGTGGAAGCTGCACCGCCAGCGGGGAGTATATCCTGGAGCCCCGCAAAGGACTGGAAAGCGCTAGAGCTAAAAGAAAGAAAAAGCGGAAAAAAAGCCAGGCGAGGAGAGGCGCTGAGGGCAGCCGCAGCTCTCCGACGCCCCTCCCTCTGGCCCGAGCCTCCAGTCCCGGGCAGCACCGGAGCGTAGCAGGCTCGGGATCCGCTGGCTGCGTCCGTCCGCTGCTTCCACTAAGCCCCGGAAAGGATTTGGTCAATTATTTCCCCCCCCCTTTGGGGAGGAGGAGAAGCAGTGGGAGGGGAGGGCAAGGGAGGAGATTGCAGAAGGGAGTTACACCTGGTTTACGAGCCGGAAAAAAGGAGAACTTTGGGGGTAAGTAGCGTTCTAGCGCTGAACTGCAAAGGGGAAGGGGGAAAGGGAGAGTTGGGAGAAGTAGGAGGGAGAGAGAGGGCAGGGAATAAATTATGCGAAAAAAAAAAAAGACCAAAAGAAGAAAGGGAGAGGAGAAAGAGATCCCAATATTTCAGGGGAAACGTAGTAGAGGGAGAGAACCGCAATGCAACTCCTCGGCTAAGTCCCGTCCGGGGCTCTGGCGCCACACAGACCCGCGCGAAGTTATTTTTAATGAGATTGGAAACTAAAATGACAAGGCTTGCATCGGAGCCCCGAGAGGGAGGAAGAACTGGGCAGGTGGCAGGGCCCAGAGCCCTCTGGTGAGATGCTATGCCCCTGGCAGGGGAGGAGACGAAAGCCCTAGGAAACTTCCCATTTTCATTCCAATTGGGATGCTCCCTGATTCTAACCTTAAAGCACCCCTCTAACCCCCGCCCCCCAGCTCCATCCGGGTGTTCAGTTACCTGGGACTTGGGCCCGGGAGACTGAGGCAACAGAGGTTGGGGTAAGAAAGAGAGCTTACCTACCTTAGTCGCCCCCTCCTTTTGCAAACCTCCTCCCCCCTCTCTTTCCTTCCATCTGCCCCCCTCCCCCCCAGTCCCTGGAAGCAGCAAACTCTATAGGCGAGGAAAGAACGACCCCTGCAGTTTCATTGCGGGAAAATCTCAGCGACTACGGGTGATGGAGGAGAGAGGAAATTGTAGGAGCTGGAGAGCTGGGCAGAAATAAATGTGTAAACGAAAGAAAGCAAGGGAAATAAATAGATAAAGAAATAAGGAGTGCGTCGCTCGGGCGCCACGGCCCCATATCCCCCAGTAAGGATCTTGAGCCAAGGCCGCGCGCACTTTGCTCTCCCTAAGGATTCTTCGCCCAAGGTGCTAGGGGCTCCGTCTTTCTAGGAGGGTAGTCTGGGCCCTGGGGAGAGGCAGAGAAAGGGAGAAGGAGAGGAAGAGAGGAAGAGGGAGAGAAAAGGCTTTTCCTGGAGTAACCCTGGGGCTCGACTGAGGTTGCAAGCTGCCAGAGATTTATGACAAGTCACATTCAAATCTCTCTCTCTCTCTCTCTCTCTCTCTCTCTCTCTCTCTCTCTCTCTCTCTTCTCTCTCTCTCTCTCTCCCCTCCCTCCCCATCCTCCTTTTCCTGTATGGTGTACCCGCCTCACTCGGGGTAGCAGGAGAGGAACCCCGAAGAAAAGCTAACCATGCCCTGGTAAGGTGGGCGGACTTCGAGGGCAACTTGTAGCTGACCGCCTGGGCACCGAGAGAGCTAGAGCAGGGGAAGGCATTCGACCACGCGGCCCAGCGGGGGGCTGTCGTCTATGTCTTGTTGGGGGGCCTGGTGGATTGGGATTTCGCTTTCTGGAGCAAGAGTCCGGCGCTGGTGGCCTCAGGTGGCGGCGGCTGCTGCTGCTGCTGCTGCTGCTGCTTCTGCTGCCGCTGCTTTCGAGAGCCCAGGAAAGAGAGGAGAGAGACCGTCGGGGCAGCGAAACCTTGGACATGTGTCAGCACATCTGCGGAATAGATCCTACGAGCTCGAGGGGAGATTTGCTGGAACAATTCAAACTGAGATATTGATCTTGGGGGTGGTAGTCACTGGCCGGCTTTGGGGTGGGAGTGTGTGTGCGCGCGCGTAAGAGAGTGTGTGTATGTGTGTGAGTGTGTGTGTGTGTGTGTGTGTGAGTGTGTGTGTGTGCGTGTGTGGTGGCGGGCTCCCCCCTTCCCTTCCTTTTTTTTTTTTCCGTCGAGTGATGCACTTGGAATGAGAATCGGAGGATGGAAATAGTCTGGGAGGTGCTTTTTCTCCTTCAAGCCAATTTCATCGTCTGCATATCAGGTATGGAACAAATCTGATTCGAAAGGTTGTCTTGTGTATTGTAAAAAAAAAATATGGATTTTGTCTTGGGTAAACACCCGTGGAGGGGGAAGGGGAGGGCACCCAGCCGCTTGAGGGTAGGGAGCTATGCGGGCTTCCCCACCTGCAAAACTATGAGCGCCTCTTCCTTTCTGTTCCCAAGAGCGCTGGATGAGAGTACTAGGGGGATTCAGTTATGTCAGAAGGATTGAGGTCGAAGGAAAAGGTTGAAGCAGATGAGGTGGAAGGTGGGTCTTGATTCTCCACTGATTACCAGGTAGAGAAATCCAGTGTCTAAATACAGCCCTCAGAACCCCACCCCCAACCCCTACCGGATCCCAGTCTCCCGGGCTTCAAAGTTCCCAAACTCAGCGCCTTGAAGCTAGCAAAATGGACGCAGTGCCCTGCCCCTCTATCCCTCCCTGTAGTCACTTTGGAGAGACTGCGGAGATTGCGGGGATTAGATCATGCCGGGAGAAAACTGTTGGGAGGGGAATAAGGGTGCATGTGCTCTGTGTGTGTGTGTGTGTGTGTGTGTGTGTGTGTGTGTGTGTGTGTTTCTCTCAGATATAGAGAGAGCAGGCAGGAACTAGCGTGTTTCTGTCTGAGGATCTTACCTAAACCTCCACCTCTCTTTGCCCACAAATTAAACACCGTGGCTTTTCAGGATTCCCAATAACTGCTGTCCTGTAGCTCCAGTTGTCTTGACCTTATCTCTCAAATCTCAGGCAAGTGGAGTTGTCCGGAGCTGTGGTAATAGAAGGGAATAGGTAGCCTATAAGGAAAATAGGGGTATTCTGGGTGGAGGGATGGTAGGGTAAAGGATTATCCATCAGTGACCTGGTTAATGAAATGTTGCTCAGTTGGCTAAGGGAGGAAGAAGCCTGCCTCTGAAATACCGTAGAACTTCATGGTACACGGCACCCCCCCCCCTTACCCAACCCGCTGCTGCTGCTGCTTCTTTCTACCAATTGCCCACCTAGTTATGTGTTGGTAGTTTTCGTTTACAATTGTGTCTTTGGTCACCGTTCCCATGCAAGAATGGGAATATAGCCAACTTCCCAGTGGCCTGAGGAGAAATAACCCGTGGCCCCTCTAACCAGGCACATCTGGAAGCTTGGATAATACCGCTCCTCCCACCTAATCCTGTCCTAGGGAGCTGGAGCTCATGCTAGACCTGATAAATAAAACATTAACTCTCAAACCCTGTTCTTTCGTCTCCTCTTCCTGCTCATATGAAAAGGGTAGGGGAAGGAAGTCACCTGCCCACCCCATTCACTCCCTCCTATTTTCCACTGACAATCTGACCAAGGAGTTTGCTTTTGTTGAATTAAGATAATTTTTGTTGTTGTTGTTTTTTACCCATATTCTTTCACTTCCCTATAACACCCTCTGTATTTTCTCTTGCTGCATCTGGGTGGATAGTAAGGGAACAAGAGCTTGTTCTATAAGTCAGTCTCTCCAGGAATGATCACATATGCATATATGTATATAATATGTATATGTATACATACATATATATATAGATATATATATATGTCTATATATATATATATATATATATATATCACTTAGCTAATCTTTTTATATTTCTGCCCAAATTTTCCTCTTCAACTCTCCCCTTTCCAAAATATTTCACTGAAGTCACTATGTCTAAGACCACCACAAACCCTCTACCTTCCCCCGCCCCCACCCCTTTCTCATAAATGATTTTCAGGTTCTGGCAAGTACAAAATCTAATTCCTGTTAAGACTTTTGATGAGGTAACATTCATTCAGATCTTTGGTACCTCATCTTGTTAGCAAGTTACCCCTTTGAATTCCCCCATAAATACACATGTAACATGCATTTCTTATGTGATCATGCATAATGCCCTGCTGGAAAAAAAGAATCTCCTTCTGTGTATGTTCACATATGTCCCCCTGAAAGAGTTTGGAAACAGTATATAGTATTAACAATATATGGTTAAAGCTATATTGTGCTAGGTATGCCAATAGCTAAAGCATTGACATAGAAGGGTAAACAGCATTTTCAAGTAAGAAATGGAAATATTGAGCACATGGCCTTTCACACGTATTCACTAAATAGTCATCATTGATGTATTATGAGGGAATAAAAGTGTAAGCAAAATTGCTAGCTATTAGCTTAATATGGAAAACTAGGTTATGGTTCCAAATGCCTAGTTAGGTCCTGAATTAATTTGCCCTTTATGAAGCTGTTTAGACAGAGATGTAGCATTATGCCTTGCACATTTATGTATTATACACACCTACTTTAAACACCCATTATTTTTAAATGGCTAAGGCATTTGCCTCTCCTGCCTCTTTGCCTCAGCCTAGCTGCTTATCCAATTACATCCTTTCATGTCAGCATTCAGGAGGGCATTGTAATTGTGATTCACAATTGCCACACTTTGGGGTGTTCTGGCTCCTCCCTTTCCTTCCCATGTGACAGCTTTGGGATATTGCTGGGGAAGTTGGGAAAGGAGGGGCAAGGCAGAAGTAGTACATGGGGACTAAGTCTGAAGAAATGTGACTCAGAGGGGGACTGGTGGGTCTTTCCCATTTTGGGTTTTACATGATTTGCAGTTTTAATTTACTTAGCATAGATAGGAATTCACTAAAGGGAACACAGTATCACCCCGGGGGCCAAGTAAATCTTGCTGATTTTCCCTCCTTATTTCTCTCCTTTCCTTCTTTCTCATTGTTAGTGAGTCACCAGGCAAGTGGTAAATCTAATGTGCTGTGTTGGTTTATTGGGTCACTGTGCATCAATAATTGATGCATTGGCATGGTTTGCTGTATTATCAAGAAACACCAGACCAGGGAAAGGAAGCACAATTCAGCAGTGTAAACATGCTAAAAAAGAAAACCTTAGTTGGAGATTTAGGCCGGGGGTGAAGGATCATTGATTTAGTTTAAGGGGGGTAATCTGTGTTTTTAGTTAAGTCAGCAAGCATTTATTAAGCACTTACTGTGTGTCAGGCACTGTGCTAAGTGCCGGGGGATACAAAGAAAGGCAAAAACCAGGACTACCCTGTTTCCTTTGGCAAGTTAGTTTGGGTTTTTGTTTTCTTAATCTCAGGAAATAAGGCATAGAATGCTTCCCCCCCCCCCCCATGGAGCCCTTTGAAGTTACTGCTCAAGACAGAGATCCTGGGTTTGTGTGTTCCAGGGATGTGCAATAATCTGCTTGTGATAAAAAATAAAAGAAAACGTTAGCTAAGGGGACCAAAAGCCCCGGTTGGTTTTATCTAGTAGCTTGTAAGTAGCATTTGGGCCTATGATCTAGATGTCATCAGTTTCAGTCACTTAATGACTCCCCAGCAGAGCATGAAGAGGGAGGGCTATGGAATGGGAGTGCTTCTGAATCCACAATGAAATAAAAGTGCATTCAGCTGCAAATGCAAGACAGACAGGATCTGCCTGGGGAAAGAAAGAAGCAGAGGGTTTTTCCTCTGTGTTGTCTGGAGTTCCATTCCTTTCCCTGAAACAGCAGCTCAGATGAGGTAGCATTTAGGATGCTCCTGCTGTGGGAAAAGGCCTTCTGGTTGTACAATAGTTGCCACATTTAACTCAGATGAAACCACTTGTCCATTATATGGCATACCCTCACTATATAAGATGAAAATTCAACCTCACTTGAAAGAGATTCCAAAAAATTTTAATTATGATTAGTGGGAAATAACATCAGCATTGTACTCAGAATACTTCATTTCAAGTTCTGTTTCTGACCCTTACTACCTATGTGATTTTAGGCAAATCATTTAACCTCCCTGGGTTTTAGTGTTTGTTATTATCCTTCAGTCCAATCCTATTCTTGATGATCCCTTTTGGGGTTCTCTTAGTAAAGATACTGGTTTGCCATTTCCTTCTTCCTCATTTTACAGATGAGGAAACCGAGACAAACAGGTTTCAGTGACTTGCCCAGGGTCACACAGCTTGTAAATGTCTGAGGTCAGATTTGGACTCAGGTCTTTCCGAGGCACTCTATCCACTGTACCACCTAACTGCTCCAGCTTAGTGTACTCATCTATAAAATGAGGGATTGAACAAGAAGGCTTTCGAAGACTCTCCCAGCTCTACATTTATAGTTCTACGATTATTATCATTGGTTCAAACATATAATATCCATATAGAACTTTTAGTTTTAGAAAGTGCTAAAAAATGTTTTTGTTATTATGAGTTTGGCACCAGTGAATATGAATATTTACAGAAAGAAGAGAAAAAGATAAAAGTATATGAAACTCTGAATTTATATTAAGAAACAATTTTTAAAAAGGATATAATAAATTCAACAAGGTTCCAAAGTTGTCCTTCGTGGCTCTTTCCGATCTCCTTTCAATTCTCTTCTATACTTTTTTTCAGTGTTACATTGATACTCTTTTCTTTCTTTCATTTTTTGGGCATATCACTATCATTAGTATCTCTTTAATTCTACTCCCCTAATTAATAAACAACAATGAAAAATAATTCAAACCTTTTTGTAAATAATAAGAAAAGCCAAACAAAACAGAATCACGGAATGGCCATAGCTGAAAACCTCTGGTCTTTCTGAGCCTTTAGTCCATCACTTCTCAGTTAGGAGGTGGGTATCATGCCCCATTTTCTGTCTTCTGGAGTGATGATTGGTCATTGCATTTATCAGAATTCTTAAGTCTTTCCAAATTGCTTTTCTTTGGAATGTTGTAGTCATTGTATAAACTTCCCCTTCCTGCTTCTACTTACTTTACTACATCATTTCATACAAATCTTCACAGTTTTCCCTGAATCTATACCTATCGTATCATTCAATTATATTCATATACCATAATTTAATCAGCTGTTCCCCAATTGATAGGCACCACCTTTGTTTCCAGTTCTTTGCTATGCTAAAAAAATACTACAATGAATATTTTTGTACATATAGATCCTTTTACTATTTCTTCTATTTCTCTCAGACATACTACTAGTAATAGTATTGACTGAATCAAAGGATATTCA